TACACATCACCAGTTTTTTCTAAGATGAATTATTACTGATTCAGCAAATAATTCACACATTTCGGGAAGTTCAAACAACTTGCCATAAGCGAAAGTTTTGTTGGGGCTTAAAATAATCTTCGTTATTACTTATAACGTTAAATAAATAAATTAGTATACTACAGTCGGCAAGATCTGCAATGAATGGATATGTTACACGATGTTGATTCTCAGTTATTTAAAAATCCAATCGAATATGTCATTTACAAGTTTCCTACACCTGTCTTTGTACATATTCATAAATATGAATCATATACATATATATACAATGGGACAGGCAAAACGATGTTGTTGAGACAGAAAAAGATAGACGTAGCCCGAGTTCGCTTGAATGATAATTTATTTCTTGCTTGAATGAATTCATTGTTACAAACAATGGCTAATGTAATTACTGGTTGTACAATGCATGTGTGTGTAGGCACACGTTTACAAATTATTACAGATTTATTCACCTACCGTCGATATATCATACGTGAAATATATTGGGATGAATATAAAGGGCGAAATAAACTAGGTGAGCAACATATTTTGAGACAAAAATGACACAATTTACGATCAATTAGAAAATGATAGATATACTGTAGAGTGGTCATAGATTTATTTATAGTATTTTCTTATATTAATATTTATGATTTTTTTCAGAACTAAAGGCTCCAAATTTAAAAAAAAATTAATTACTAATTTCATAAATATTTTATAATACGTTTCTGGGAAATAGAATTTCTTATTCTTCAAAAACTTTTAAAAATAATTCAGTAAAAATTAGTAGTATTTAAACTTACAAGGAAACCCTCAGGTTTACTCTTCTGGGGTTTTGATGAAACTTTGCATGGTGATAGAGTTGATAGTCAAACCGAACCCCATAAAATATTATAGGCCTATGAGAAGAGGTTTAATTATTAAAGTTGCAAAAAATGCGCTACATGACATATCTGTTTATTAGTAGTCGTAGTAATAGTTGTTTTTGCCAATCAAAACGTATTAATAGTTGTAGACTACAACTATTACAACTACTACTTGTTGTTAAAAATAGTAATCGATGCATTCACTATACATATTTAGTTATTTGTAAGGTTGTCAAATATCTCCCTTCCGCCTTTTTGTATTATAAACCAAGAGCAAAAAAGCGGAAGGGAGATATTTGACAACCTAATATTTTGAATTTAAATTATAATTCATAACAAACTAGTTGTGCATGGTATTGTGCCTTGAAGCAAATTGCGGAAACTTGTCCTACCATAATCAATCATTCGAGAAATAAAAATATTTGATAATCCACAAAAATGCATTATTGATTAACACTAATTTTGTTAAAGATGTATACCGCATTGAATTAATTATTCATGGCATAAGTAAAGAGTAGTACTAACCAGGTACTTTAACATTTTATTTACATAATATTTCGAATTAAAATCATAATTGCTAACTAAATAGTGGTGCACGGTATTGTACCTTGAAGCAAATTGCTGGAACTTGCCCAATCATAATTAATCCTTCGAGGAATAAAAATTACCAGCAAACCTCAAAAATTCATCATCAATTGATACTAATTTTAAAAAAATATTTACCGCATTGGATCAATCAACTATTCATGACGTAAATAAAGGATATTACAGCCATGTTTTATCTATAATATTTTTTTGAAAACACTTTGGCAATTGAGATGGCGGTATCTTGTAGCAATAGCAAAGGTACACAAATAACAGATCAATGTTTTCATTAATGAAAATTATCTAAATATCGTAAAATTATTAATAACTAAATGTACTGCGACTTCATACGCAAAGAATTTAAAAAAAAGTTAAAGGTTTTTGTCAATTTTATGTTAATTTCTGTTTATTTTCAGCTTTTTTATTAGCTTTATTGAAAAGAATTCTTTATACAACACTTTTGGCCTTTCTAATGTTTTTCAAGAGATTTGACTTTTTTAATTATTACTAATGGGTGTACATTTAAATAATAAATATAAATTATATATAAATTATATAAAATATATAAATCTGTGTGTGTCCAAATTCATATAGACCATCGATTGTATCATTTAATTTAGTTCCCTTCCATCAAACCAATAATACATCACACCAAATCAAATCCCAATCTTTTAAACAACCTATTAATATTGTATGGGTGTTTATTTATTTTGAAATTTATCCTCTTATGTCAGGATAATACGCGCATTGTGATTTCGATTTTCGTCATTTGTCACTGACATTTTTGATGTGTGAGGTCCTGCAATCACATTCAAAATTTGATATTCGGTATTGTTAAAATATGACTTTGCAGATATTGAATCTTGACTGAGTGTGATAAAAAGGAATACCTGGAAAAATTATTATTAACCAAAAAGTTTGACTAATATTCGTGGTTTCTCATGTTCAAAAAGGTGGTTCTATGATATTTTTTGTCAAATGAATGATTGGCTTTGCCTCTTGAGGATAAATTCAAAATATTTAATATGATAAAAGAAGATATATACTTTCCAACTGAAATTGTTTAGGATTTGATCATGTTGAGAAAAATTATAAAAAATCACATCACAATATAATAATTCAATGTGTATGTACGTATGTAATCCCGCTTAAAAAGTTTAAGTTCATCTGGATAGCTAACTATTATATTTAATTAGACTTTTCTGAAATAAAAGCATCATTTTATTAAAAAATAATCAATCTTTTATTTAAAAATATTTATTGATATAGGATGTCCCTCAGAAACTTTAAAGTATTAAAATGAAAAATATTTTAAGATAAACACTCACTAAAAATTAAACTACAAAAATTAAATAATATTAAGTTCTTTCTATAATTTTGCTAAAATATATATTTAAAATTTTGCTAAAATATATATTTATTAGCTAAAATTTACGAAATTAAAATTATTAACGTAATATTTGTTTTATTGCAATAATATTTTATTAATTTTTTTTTAACTTCCCGTAGGGCAGGTTATAGTAATCGCAAAAAAATCGAAAATGAAAAATTTTATATATCTTTACGTTTCAAAACCTTCTGAATATTTTGGCATACTTTAGAAAAACTGGATGTATGTGTGAGACTTGAATCAACAAGATGAAGAACTGATGAATCTAGTAAAAAAAGTAAAAAAAAATGACATCTGGCGGTCAAAAATGATCATTAGACATATGCACATCAAATTATCAGATATTTTATAGAAATTTTAACAATAAGTATAAATTTTGTTTACATTCCTATGGGTTCCGTACCAATGCTTATACGTTAGACGGCGATGCGGCGTTTACGCGCTTCAATATTTTGTCTCTATGCTGTTAAAGCAGTACGATTGCTTTGAAAAAAAGTTCAGAATTTCCGAAATATTTTAAAATAATTTTTTCTTCAAAAAGTCTTTTTTTTTTAAAAGTAAATTTTTGTCAAAAATTTGTCTTAAAAATCTAATTTTTTCAGAGTAATTTTTTTTTCAAAAATGTTAATCTTTTTTAAAAAAAATAATTTTTGGTATGAGAAGTTCCAGCAATTCGCCTTAAGGCACGATGCCATGCGCCCCACTAGTTTTTTTTTGTCAATCAAAACTTTATTTAAGTATTTTATTAATGAATAAAATACCGATTAGTATCATTAAATCAATCGTCCATTGTACCTAAATTTAGTCAAAAAAAGCAAACGAAAGAGCTAGGTATGCCCCGTGTTGTACCTGCCCATAACATTGTCCCTCTCCCTCTTGAGTAACAGGCCGACTCGGCGCGCGGGATCTCCTGGCCTCAGTGGCATACGTGCTTCGACCGAGCACGTTGGTTCCTATAACGTTTTGTGCGGAAATTATTTACGACAAATAATATTAAGAAAATAATAATAAAAACATTTTTAATTTAAGTGGTAATTAGAACGTTGATATATTGATGAGTTTAATAAAATTGTATTAAAATTATTTAAACATGTGATTTTGAGTTTTTTGACAAAAGTTCAAAAACTGTTGTCAGCACGTGGATGTACTACATAATGTTTGCTGATTGTTGCATAAATTTTTAAGCGTATATTTAAAGACATTTAAAGGGACTTTAGCAAAAATTTGCTGAAAATTATTTATGCACAATTATATAAATTATAAAGTTAAAGTGAAATCTCAATAACTTTTAAACAGTCTTTGATATGCAAATGAGTTATCAAAGATTTGTTCAAATTAATTACTGTGTCATTAATTACCGATGCCTTGAGACTTTTATTTCTGGCAAATCATTATTATTTTTGTTGTGACAATTTTATAAATGTGTTGTAACGTACAGTTAATTATTACTACCTGTGAGATTTATTAAATTATTCTGAACATTTCTATAAAAAACATAATTTAATGTGTAAACCTTCATTCGACTCCTTCATAAATCGATCTACAATACAATGTTTATATATGACACACACGTTGCCTATTGTATAACTTTTCAAAATTTATTATAATCCGGTTTTGGGCCAGCTTGAAGATTTGTCGAGATTTTTGATTATTTTGTGTGTTTTCCATTAAATCTAATAATGTTACATGATATTTGTTTATGTACAACTAAAATTGTACTTTTGCGCAGAACAGTTGATAGTGAATTAATTTGATAAAAAATTAATATATATTGTGCCTTATAAGTGCTCTAATGAACAAAAACCAAATTTTTTGAAAATTTTGAATCGTTGTAGTTATTGAACGTTGGAGTTAATGGATATTAATAGTTATGATGAAATCAGTACCTGTTTGATAATTAAGATTTGATTAAATAATTGTTTACAAATTTATACAAACCAATTGCTGCCTTCGCAACAACTACTACCTGTGAATTAAATTTAAAATGCATTTAAATTCCTACTTTTGCATCTAATAAAATCAATTAAATAATTCTACTTACAATGTACAAGTGAAAAATGTGGATTTCCAAACGTATCCCAATTATCTAAAACCCCCAAAAGACAATTTTAATTAAGTTACTACGTCTATTATCAAATCAGCATTGATGATAGAACTATTGGAGTCCGGTCCCATGGACAGGGGCGGCTTAGCCCAGGGCCGAACAGGTGACCAAATAGTTCCGAACGAACCGCTCTGGGCCCTCGACTCGATCAATAATAGTCCGCCCCAAACGGCCCTGTATTCATATTGCTACAACCCGAACTATTGGCAAGGGCAGGCGACCAGTCCGACGGATAACTGCGCTCAATTGCAGATGCAGGTGAGGGGAACCGAATTATTTATATATATTTTGTTTATTGATATATTTTTTATTTTGCATTTTGTTTAATTTATAGATTAACCAGAATAATTTTGGCACACCTTTTAAAAAAATATATTTTCTTACGTTTTAGGGTTCATTTTATTACATCGTATGCATTTCATCAATTTTGGATGAAATATATTTTAAATAGTAGTGCATGGCATGGTGCCTTGAGACAAATTGCTGGAACTTTTCTTAATATTTTAATTTTTTTTCAGTTTTAGTTTTTTTTTTTTAATTTTGAGAAAAACAGTTTTTTTCAAGAATTTTTGAAAATTCTAGTTTATAACATTTTTGTCAATTTTGATATTTTTTTGAAAATTTTCAAATTTCAAATCACGTAAGCGCTGCGTCGCAGACTTACTTAAGCTGTTTGTGAACAAAATTTGTACTTATGATTAAAATCTTTATATATTACCTGATGATTTGAAGTGCACATATCTAATGCTTATTTTTGACTGCCAAATAGATTTTTTTTATTGAATTAAAATTTTGTTTATTGTATCTCAAAAATCGCTGGACCGCCTTCCGAAAAATTTAATCACTCCTTCGTTTCGTTATCACAATTGCAACGTTTTTTGAATTACTCAAATACGACGCTTCAAAAACTTAATTGCTATTATTTGCACTATTATTTACCCGTATCTTTGAAACGGGAGACTGGCCTTTGCCAAAATTAGCAAATCTCCCCATCATTACAAATCGAATACTTTTTGAATTCTTCCGAAAACGTCGACGAAAAATTTTATTCATACACACTCATACATACATCTATTTTGTCTAATTATAAGGAATGCCAAAATATTTAGAAACCTCTGAAACCTAAAGATATGCATAAAAATCATTTTCGATTTTTTTCAGATTATTATAACTTACCCTACAGAAAGTCATATTCTCAGACATTTTATTTAAACTATTGTTAATTTATTAATTTATTTATTTATTTTCTTCTTTTTTATTTTATTTTTTTTATATATTTTTTTATTTATTTATTTATATATTATTTTCATATCTTAGTCAAGGTATCTGAAGAAAAGAAATTAATTTATTACATTTTACAAACTATGTGAAGTACTTTTCATGCATTTTACCAGAGTAAATAATAATCAAATATTAAATTACCATAAAAGCAAGATATATTCTATTACGTTTTTTTTCAAACTATTTGATTATAGTTTGAAAAAAACGTATTATCGTTTTATGACAATTTTAAGTGACTACTTAGAATGCATTTTAATAATGTAAATCTTATATCAAATATTACATCAATTTTTAAATTGCGGTTGGCCTACCATGGAGGTTAATGCCTAAGGTTTCTATATGAAACGTTTAAGTTAATCCAAAAATTCTCATACTTATAGCACATTTTTTGACTATTCGTATAAAATTTTAACACTTTTATTAATTATTCATTTAATATAAAATAGGGTAAATTTTTACAAAACCAGATCAATGATTATTTGATTCATTGATTATTTCATTCATTTGACCACGTTTTGGTCACTAAATTATCAATCCAAACCGTTTTAGTACAAAAATAATATTTTTTACTAGAAAGCAAAACAAATAATAATTTTCATGGTATGTATATCAATATTTTTTATAAGTATCCCGCGTTAGAACATTTTTTTTGTAAATTACAATATCTGTTACAGAACTGAACAAACCGTATATCCTAATTATCATACTTTTCTGTAATTTGTACCACCGTTTGGAATATTTCGGCTGAAGAATAGTTGAATCAAAATGGCTGTAGTAATTCAGTTGTATGTATTAGTGATTCGTAATTATATTAGTTATTATGTATTCATTCTAAAGCAACGTTAATGTACATTAGAGTTACATTATATTTGCACGCATTGTTGATTCCAACCAATCGGACTCTCTGCCATTGTAACCTTGTATCATTCACTGGATTCCTATTGGAAGATTAATGCCGGAGAGAATGGATTTATATATATATATATATATATATATATATATATATATATATATATATATCCGTACAATATACCTTTGTTGCGTAACTTCAAATTCACACTCGGTTGATTTTGCAATAAATAAATACTCATGTTCATTGTGATGCATTTAATATATATACACATGTGTATCTAGAGATCATAGATGAGAAAGATTTAAACTTTTAGGTCCTCTTGCTATTTTTAACAAAGGTAATAAAAATAGTATTTTACTTACAATTGCTCATCTAGAGTTACTTTTATTAAGCAGAATTATTTCTTTAATCTTCGCTGTCTTAAATCAGACATTTTAATAAAGTCACTTTGGAGTGTTGAAGTTAATATTGAATTTACAATATAATCTTTTAAGCATTACTGAATAAAATATTATTTTATCATGTATAGAAATAATATACGTCCAAAGTAATTTTTCAAGATCATTCTTTTTACATATTATGCTTCTTCTGATTCTAGATTATATGTTAAGTATTTCAAGTAACATTCTCGTACATCTCACAGATTAATTATTAGTTATTAGATATTAGATTTTCCATTGCCATTTCACACCGCAGTTCCCTCAATGAGCTATTACTAGATAAAATATTACTTTATAGTAACTATTTTTTTCTTCAAATGTTCAAATTAATTCTTCAAGATCCATTTTTATACATATTTTAGGTAATATACTCGTACATTCACATATTAATTGTCTCATAATAATATAATAATAATGGGTAGTATTGCCCTAGGCAGGTCCATGAGCTTAGTCAAACTCCACGTCGATTCAGGGAAGAATAGTGTGAGAGGTTTCCCATTGCCACTTTACACCACAGTGCCCGATATTTTTAATTGGAAACATATTTTTGATCTATAAAAATTGATATCACTACTGCATGATATCAGGTTGTCCACTACTATGATTCGAGATAACGAGACAGTGCGCTTAACGGTTAAAGAATGAAACAAATTAAAAAAAAGTTTTCGAACTCCATCGAGATATTTAAGAAAAAGTAAAATATATTGAAACATTTGTATTTTTTGAAATTTGTATTAGTCTCTAATTTGCGGACATTTTACAAGAAGTTAAATTTATTGTATTTTTTGTATCATTTATTTTTTGTACTTATCAATTTTATAAATGAGATTTTATAGTCTTGATTACCAAAAATAAATAATCACAAAAAAAATTACAAGAAGCTAAATTACATACCTTTTTCTAGTAATATTTTATATTTTATCTAATGGTTAAACTTTATCTAATGGTTACAAAATAAATTATATCTTTAATTTAGCACAAGTTTTATCATAGCAATTATGATTTTTATATTTAGCTTAAGCTGAAATGTGTATTCAATACATATCTAAATATTTTTTATCATTATATGTAATAATAAATGAATAAATAAATATATAAATATTTAAAAATATTCTTCTTTATAAAACAAAATCAAGTTTTATAAGCTTAATAGTATTGCACATTTTGACACATTTTTATAACTAAATATCTGTAGATAGTCATATTTTCTTTAAGAGCTTCATCTCTAAAATTTAGAATTTGTGACTACAAAATACTTATTAAGGATTTGTGAAAAATTCAATTTTTTAAACTAATTTTTTTGTGCACAAATTAGTTAACTTCATAAAGATTGAATTGTGAAATATAAAAAATATAGTGATCTTTGAAATTCATATAAATCATAAAAATTCAAAGGCATTGCATTCGATGCACAATACTCCATCACTTAAATATTGATATGATGTTTTTTGCACAATATCATTTATTACTTATCTAATAAATATTTTGCAATGAATTTGTGTCATTTTCCACCACCATTGCTTTAAAATATGTGGGCATTATAAAGTAACATTAAGAAAATTGACTGCCAATTATATATGCGTAATCTTGTAACAATAGGTATTATACATATGCTACAGCAATTGTTATAAATTGTTTTGTTTAACAGTTCCAATTAGAATCCGTGAAGAACGAAGGAATACTTTTGTGACATAGATATATCAAGGTGAAATTATAATTGGGGATAATAATAGGAAAAATACGTGGCTTGGAAATGATACTTTAAGGTTGTTGTTAGTGATTCGACTATTCGTTTTGTAATAATCTGAAAATTGTTTATTTGATAATAATCAAGGATATAATAGTTAGTTGTTTCACTTATATAAAAATAATTTTAGTTTAAACTATAAACAATAGTTAAAACAATGTTTAAAAAAATATCCAAATTGATTTATCCGGAGAGTTGAATGATGGGTGAGAACAGAAAAAAATCCTTATGATGAAACGTATCTAATTACGAAACGTTGTTAACTAGACATATTGCTTCTTGTTTTTTCTTTTAGTTTTATCAGAATATAGTTAATTAAATATATATGATTGTAAAAATGTGCTTAAAATAAATACCAATTAAATTGTTAATTTGTTATTAATTTATATAAAAATATTGATATGAATTAAATATTAAATTTTACATCCTTGAAATCTAATGTTTTTAATAATTTGAAATAATATTACTTAACATATATTATATCCTCGATTACCTACCTCTCATTTATTTTATTTTATCGCGAATTATACGAGAATTCTGATCAAACGATTTGATTTAACACCAATTTCAAAACATTATCTGCTGATTGATTCTAACTTAAGTGAAAGTTTTTACCTTAAAGCTGATTTATTAATGAACATTAGTCACTATTTATTTCCTTGTAATAACATGTTTGCATATCAGTAATTTCATTCAGAGATCAAATTAGACTGATTCTGTTCTGTCTTGTAAATGCATTTTACTTGACATTTTATGTATTAGATGTTATCGAATAATAAAAAATATAGAGATCTATTGATAGAAAAAATGCTTGAAATAATTAATTTTTTCAGTAAATAATAATATGAAAACCTCGTAAATTATGAAGAAACAGTTACCTAATATAAAAAAAACAACTATTTTGTGTCCAATAAAGTAAATTAGTGATTTTATCACAAACCTAAGAATTTTTTGATTTTTTGTTTGCTCTTTGAATATTGTTAATTTTGGTAAAATAAAATAGAATTATGTGAAAATTATTTGTAACATTATTTATTAAATATTTACATCGTTCACAATTAAATATTGAAATCGAATATCAGGCGCTTTCAATCACATACATAATAGAACTTTTCATTCAATATTGGTAAAAAGTATGTATAAACTAATTAATAATTAAATTAAAATTTCGTAATAAGACTACACTTTTTTCTTGTAATATATTAATAGTTGGTATCTATAACTAATCATAATAATAAAATATTGCAGCATTGAAGTATTTATAATATTTAAAATTAAATATTAAATCAAATTACAGGCATTTCTGTTAATATAAAAATAAAATATTTAAGAAATTAAGATGTACGTAGGTACATTCGAGAATTAAATAAATTAATTAAAGTTGAATTATTAAATGAAATAAATATTTTTAATCAAATAATTATTAATTATTAAATTATTATTAAAACAATAATAAATTTAATTAATCTTCATATAATTATAATAGCGATTGAAATATTTATATTATTCAAAATTAAATATTAAAACTGGACATCAGACGTTTTTATCTCTTTACAAAATAAAGCTTTTTATAAGAAATTAAGAAGTATGTAAATTTAAAGCTTAAATAATTAATTGAGATGAATTATAGAAAAAGCTTAATACAATGATATTAATAATAATGCAATTAATTATTATGTATTAATATACAGCACATCATAACGTGAAAATTATTATTATTTGTATTTTAATAATATTAATAATATTTATTACTTTCTATTGCTATGTTTAAAATTATCTTTTGATTATAACTACACATAACTTATAATAAATTATTGATTATTGTTTGTCAGGCCCATTTAGGTCGTAATGCTTATATTTTTTTATTTATTTTGTTACGACCAGAAATGCTATAACAAACAAATATATTTATTTATATCTTACAATTTAAGGGTAAGTTTAACTAAGAATGAATTTCACCTCCATTTGCTAGAAAACAACCCCAAACTTCTCATTGCGCAAGTCTTAACACGCCCTTTACTAGAAAGGGAAAATGGTTGAAAATATTATGTTCTGGCATTGTTAGCATTATATTTTTACATGAAACTTTATTTGTACTTCAAATTTTCTTTTAGAATGCGTAAACTGATCAAATCTAATTTAATTTTTATGTTTTATGACAAATTGATACAGATAACATGCGATTTTCTAAGCATTCATTGCAAAATTATTTTCTGAGCGTTTAGCATCTATAAGGTAGATCTCTTTTCGCGATATGATGTTATTAATTCGCACGATTTATCACACTTTGATATGAAATGCGAGATAGGTTTGAAACCTAAGATAAATCAATGCTCGCTTGATTTCTTTTTTTTATTTTGACTGCAATTTAGATTATGCAGATAATGTATAAACTCATGTTTGTGGGTAAAAATATATATAACAAACTATTAACAAAAATATTTGGTAAATGCTGAATTTTTTCTTGTAGATATTGCAGCGTTACTCGTAATGAAACTTTTACATCACCTCTATTATAATGAACTGAAAATGAAGGAGCTTTTGTTAGGCACGCACATCCAAATTAGATATATATCAGATATAATTATATAATTAATTAGATATAATCTAAATTATTCGATTATTTGTACAATATTTGTGAGAAAAATCTTAATTTTGGGTCTTAGACTGTTGAAATATGAATACAATTTCATACTGCATTCATTTTATTTCAATTTGTACGGTTTAAAAAATGGGTATATTTTATATTTGTTGTCAGTTTACTTTTTTAAGCTTTGTAATACGCAGTAAAACTTATACAAATTTATACAAAATGTATTTTTTAATATATGCGTTATGGCAAACAATTTTAACTCACAATGCCGGAATTTTGCTCAAAATTTAGAATCTTTATAAGTACTTTAAAACCTCCCCTTGAAAGAGCTTAAAAGTTTCAACGCCATTAGAATTTTAAATTTTTCTGAAGTGTTTAAGACTTGCATAGAATTCTTTTAGTAACCAAAAATTTAATCAAAAATGTTTTAAAGAAAAAATCTTGAGGAATTATTACTGTTTTTCATGATACTAGATTTTCCTGAAATACAAAAATCTTTGAGTACATATAAACATTTTAAGAATTAATTAAAACGAGAGCTTGAAATAAATTAGCTATATACAATATGAACAGTTTATATTTTTGACTAACCTGAATTTTGATTTAAAAAAACTTGATCTTGTGCGAATACACTTTCAAAATAGATAGTAAGAAAAGTTTTCACAATGCTAACTTATTGTGGTTTGCAAAATTTTACCTAATTTTTTATTATATGGTTCCAAGAGAAAATAGCCCTTTCCAATATTTCAGTAAGAAAAATTATATCATAACTAATAGAAAAAGGATAACAAACGGGCTGCCTTGTTAAAAATGAGTTTATGGAACTCTCAATACTGATTGATGTTGCAAAAACAATAACAAAATATTTGTTTTTTGTTTAATCTATTAATTACAAAAATGTACCTTTATGATACGAACGTATTATACTCAGCTATAAATTATTTTCAGAACAGAATATTTCCTTTTCCTAATTTTCACCAGCCCGCCGCCTATTTCGATCACGCGTAAACCTGTACATAATTATTTATACCTTTATGATAAGTATGCCGGTAGAAAATAATTTATTCCCGAAGCATTGATTTTATAAGTGGAACATTCAGATCTGCAACGGCCAATATTATTGTGCAAAGTGTATTTATTCGCTTGTTGATATATGTAACATTGTTAAGAGTCACATATCCTTG